CTTAAGGTATTCAGTTCTATAAAAAATTAATATATTAATTTAAAATTTTAAATAATAAAATTTAAAAATAAAACTTATGAGCATTTTTTGCATTTATATTTATTAGTATTCTTTATTAAAAGCATAAAATCTATAAACAATAGGTAAATTTGTTAAATTGTTAAATTCAGCAATAATATTATCATCAAATACAAAATCTTCAAATATATTAATAATAGATTGTTGAGAATCTTGATGAGAAAGTTGTGGAAAATTTTATAGAAAAAAAGATTGTTGTAAAGGTTGTTGGGAAGAGGATTGTTAAGCTAAAGGTTGTTGATGTGAAGATAATTGCAACAAAGATCTTTGAGAAGACTATGACAAAGTAGATTCTTGAGACATATTGAAAACAAAAAATTTATTAAAGAAAAATTAGATCTAAAAATCAAATTTGATTTAAAATTTAATTTATAATAATAATATTAAAATATGTAATCATTATATAATTTATTAAATTACAAATTACAATATATATTGAATTACAAATTATATTATATATTAAATTACAATTACATTATATATTAAATTACTAATTACATCATACATTAAATTATAATTACATTATATATTAAATTACAAATTACATCATATATTAAATTATAATTACATTATATATTAAATTACAAATTACATCATATATTAAATTATAATTACATTATATATTAAATTACAAATACATCATACATTAAATTACAATTACATTATATATTAAATTACAAATACATCATATATTAAATTACAAATTACATTATACAAATACAAATATTTATAATAAATCATAAATAAAAATTTTAATAAAATAAACAGACCCGGGTATATTATAGAAATAATAATTAAAAGACTCAGGTATAGTATTAGATCATAATATATATTATATAAATTCAATCTGTTTTTATTTTTTCTACATAAAAATGTTCTTTACTTATTAGACAAATGTTTATACAAACCCGGAATCTATTGAAGATTTTAAATTGATAAAATATATCAAATCCGGGAATTGTATA